TGGCATCGAAGGAAGCAAAGTATTAGCCAAAGCACTTTGCAAAAATGCTACTTTAACTTCTTTAAATATTTGTCACAATAAAATTGGCATTGAAGGAGGAAAAGCAATAGCAGAGGCACTTTGCAAAAATGCTACTCTAGTTTTTTTAGATCTTGAAAATAATAAAATTGGTTCTGAAGGTACGAAAGCATTAGCGCGGGCTTTTCGCCAAAACACTACTTTAACTTCTTTAAATATTAGTAATAATAATATCGGTTCTGAGGGAGCAAAAGCACTAGCGGAGACTCTTTATATGAACACTACTTTAACTTCTTTATATCTTAGAGATAATAATATCAGTTCTGAGGGTGCAAAGGTAATAGCAGAGTCTTTTTATAAGAATACTACACTAGTTTCTTTAGAACTTAACCATAATAATATTGATGTTGAAGGAGGAAAAGCGTTGGCAAATATGCTTTGTAAGAACACCATCCTAACTTCTTTGTGTCTTCGAGGTAACAAACTTGGATCGGAGGGAGGAAAAGCATTGGCTGATGCACTTTATATAAATACATATATTACTTCTATATCTCTCGCAATAAATAATATTGAAACTAAAGGGGCAAAAGCAATAGCGGATGCCCTTTGCAAGAACACTACTCTAACTGATTTAAGTCTTGACGGTAATAAGATTGATTCTAAAGGTGCGAAAGCATTAGCGGAGGCTCTTTGCAAAAACACCACTTTAACTTCTTTAAGTCTTAGCTATAATAACATCGGCACTGAAGGAGGAAAAGCATTGGCAGAGGCACTTTATATAAATACTGCACTAACTTCTTTAAGTCTTAATGCTACTAATATTGGTATTGAAGGAGGAAAAGCGTTAGTAAAAGCTTTACACAAAAATAATACTCTGATCTTTTTGAATATTAATATTGGCAATAAATTTAGTTTGGAGGATGCAGGATTGGATGCGATGTATTCATCGGGAATGTTTTTTTAAACTTAGTTCTGCATTAAAAAAACTAGTTTTTTCTAGCATTATTCAAATAATTATCAATTTAAAAACAATATTGTAATGCTTGTATCTATATGTATAGTTAACGTTATTTTTTATATTAGTTTAGTTTTTGTAATAAAAATTTTTTAACTTGGTGACAAAAAATTTATTTAGGTCATTAAATAAAATTGTTTCTCGTATAAATATAAAAAATTGACAAAATTTTAAATAAGAATTTTATTCAAAACACAGAAGTATATGCACGAGATCTCAGATAGTATATTGTATACTAATTACCGGAACCTTCAGAGTGTAAATAATTATTTTATTTATTTTATTTTATTTTATTTTTATTTTATTTTATTTTAGACTTCAGATGTTGCATATTTGGCTACTATTTTAATGAATCTAATCATTAAATAGAATGTAATCCTCAATATTAATATATACAATCTTAGATTAGTTGATACAAAGGTACTAAAGCTAAATTTTAATAGATTTATGATATTTCATAGTCTTTCACATAATCAATAGTGGGATTTCATATAGTTGATAAAAATATTAGAATAAAAGAGTTAACTATACATAGTTATGATACTAGGTTAAATAAAAAATGGAGTGCTTATTCAATAAAGGATGTGTTTTCATATATTTACAAAAAATAAATTCCATTTAATAAACAAATATATTAGCACTCTTAATGCTATTGCAAATGGTTTATCTATACAACAGTATATCTAAAAAGAATATATTATTCCTGTTGTTGCAGATTGGCTAGGACAAATTAACTTTAAAACAACTATTTCTTATTATCTTTTATTTAATAATTAATTAAAGATTACTAATTCTATTTTATCTTTTCTCTCTATTATAGATTCTCTGCACATCTTATTAAATAGCTAAAAATAAGGTTTAGTGACTTAGTAAAGTTGGTAAGTTGTTGCAATAGAATAAGAGTTCAAATTCCATTGATAATAAATTCAAATTTTACAGAATGTGTTATAGCAGACTGTGTATAATCTAACAGGTCAACACCTGTAACTTTGGTCATATTACACAGGTTGAATGCATAACTATCAGGATATGCCTATATAATTCTATTATTATACTGATATACATATCGGGATAATATAGAAAGGATAATATCGGTAAAATAACAGATATTAGTATTAGAGCAATATAAAAGATAGATATCAGATATTAAATAATATCTTTTTGTTTACTAATATTATTCTGATATATATATATTGGGATATTATAGAAGAGATAATAATGGTAAACTAACAAGAGCTAGTATCAAAGCAAGATATAGGCATATAATATGGCATATAACAATATATAGTTTTTTCTTCTTTTATTATCCCGATATTCAACTTACACATTAATAGTATTATAACAAGATATAGGTATATAACAGAACATATAATGATATATAGTTTTTCTTTCTTTTATTATCCCAATATTCAACTTACACATTAATAGTATCATAACAAAATATAGACATATAACAGGACATATAACAATATATAGTTTTTCTTTCTTTTATTATCCTGATATTCAATTTACACGTTTGTAGTATCATAACAAGATATAGGCATATAATAGGACATATAACAATATATAGTTTTTCTTTCTTTTATTATCCCGATATTCAACTTACACGTTTGTAGTATCATAACAAGATATAGGCATATAACATGGCATATAACGATATATAGTTTTTCTTTCTTTTATTATCCCGATATTCAACTTACACGTTTGTAGTATCATAACAAGATATAGAAATATAACAGAACATATAACAATATATAGTTTTTCTTTCTTCTATTATCCTGATATTCAACTTATATGTTTGTAGTATTATAACAAGATATAAGAATATAACAGGACATATAACAATATATAGTTTTTCTTTCTTTTATTATCCCGATATTCAACTTACACATTAGTAGTATCAAAGCAAAATATAGGCATATAACACGGCATATAACAATATATAGTTTTTCTTTCTTTTATTATCCTGATATTCAACTTACACATTAATAGTATCATAACAAGATATAGGCATATAACAGGACATATAACGATATATAGTTTTTCTTTCTTTTATTATCCCGATATTCAAATTACATATTTGTAGTATCATAACAAGATATAGGCATATAATATGGCATATAACGATATATTGTTTTTCTTCTTTTATTATCTTGATATTCAACTTAATGTTTGTAGTATCATAACAAGATATAGGCATATAACATGGCATATAAAGATATATAGTTTTTTCTTCTTTTATTATCCTGAAATTCAACGTACATATTAGTAGTATTATAGAAGGATATAGGCATATAACAGGACATATAACAATATATAGTTTTTCTTTCTTTTATTATTCCAAAATTCAATGTAAACATTTGTATACAGATCAAATATATAAATAATGGTTAAATAACAGGATATACCTTTATGCATTCTGGAAAAAGAATAATAGTAAAATAACAGATATCAGCATTATAGTAAATTAAAAGATAGATATTGGATACAAAATAGTATACCTTTTGTTTCCTAATACTATCCCAATATTCAACTTACATGCTAATGGTACTCTAGATGAATAAAGGTATACTAAAGGTAAAATAATTCTATATGTTTTTTCTTCTTTTATCATCCCGATATTCAATTTACATGCCAATAGCACACTAGATGAATAAAGGATTGAAAGGTAAAAGAGTTATATACGTTGTTTCTCTTCTTTTACTATCCTGATATTCAACTTTATATAAATTATATATAGATATACAAAGTATAAGATTATATTCACTTTTAACTCCTGATATACATAGTGTTATAGCAATATACAGACAATTTATTTATTAAGGTTTATACGCATATATTGTTTATACTATATTTTCAATAATACAAATATGTAAGACTATACAAATTTAATTAATTGTTTTTTATAATCCAGCTGGGTTGTATTTTGAATTTTTTTTTAAATTTTATAAAATAATATATATAATATTTAAAAAAAAAGCCGGGAGGCTAGGGTATTTTACTCTTTATTTTCCTCTTCTTCTTCTACTTCTTCTTCTTCTACTTTTTCTGGCTCTAACAGGCTTTTTAGAAATTCTATAGAGTTTGCAAGTGTCTTCACAACTTCATCATCGGGAACTTGATAGTTAATACTATCAGATTCACCTATATGGAAAACAAAATTAATGATTTGAATTTTGCATTAATTAATGTATTTTATCTAATTACCTAATGATATATTAGATTCCTAGCAACTTAATATAGTTTCACCTTCTGATATTAGAGAGGGATTTTGATAGAGTGTTGGATTTGCTAATACTAAAAAAATATATATAAAAATAATAATTTGTATAAGTTAATAAAATTTAACTGCAATTTAATATATTAGTATAAAAATTAGCCAATATTAGTATTATAAGCCAGCTGGAGCAGCCATGGCTAAAGCAATTTAGCCAGCTTAGCCAGCCAATATATTAGTATCAGCTGGCTAAAGCTGCTTAAGATCAAATAATTTAATAGTATAATTTAGGCCTGATACACATACCTACTTCCTTTGAATTACCTTTTTCATTAACATCTTTTGAATTACTTTTTTTATCAACAACCTCTTTTGAATTACCTTTTTCATCAACAACTTCTTTTGATTTACCTTTTTCATCAACAACCTTTTTTGACATATCTTTAATATTACTAAATTTATTAAAGGCAGCCAGTTGACATACTTTTTGTCAAATTCAAAAACTAGAATTAGCTTTATTTAGTTATAATTAAACAAACAGTATTACTATCTTTACCTGTATTGCCTAAAACGTTTTTTAATTGTGAACATATATTGTATACACTATACTGGGGTTTACAGGTCCAGTGATAGCTTCATAGTCATCATCAGAGGTATCTTCTAAATTATTACTATTGGGATCATCCTGATTATCACTATTGGGGTTATTCAGATTATCATTATCGGGAGCATCCTGGTTAGCAGTGCATCCTAGTTAGCAGGGTCATCCTGATTAGCAGTGGCATCCTGGTTAGCAGGGGCATCCTGGTTAGCAGGAGCATCCTGGTTAGCAGAGGCATCCTGGTTAGCAGAGGCATTTTGATTAGCAGTGGCATCTGGGTTAGCAGTGGCATCTGGGTTAGCAGTGGCATCTGGGTTAGCAGTGTCATCTGGGTTAGCAGTGGCATCTGGGTTAGCAGTGGCATCAGGGTTAGCAGTGACATCTGGATTAACAGTGGCATCTGAGTTAGCAGTGGCATTGGGTTAGCGGGGTCATCCAGGTTAGTGGAGTTATCTGGGTTAGTGGGATCATCTGGGTTAGTGGGGTCATCCGGGTTAGTGAAGTTATCTGAGTTAGTGGTTCATCTGGCTTAATGGGGTCATCCAGGTTAGTGTGGTCATCTGGGTTAGTAGGGTTATTCAGGTTATCTGGATTAGAGGTATCACTATCACTATTAGATATAGAAGCATTGTGGTTAAGATATGATCTGGATAGCATTCAATCTGGTATATCCGAGGGTAGAGTGGTGTGATGATCTATTAACCCTGGAGCATTTGCCCACCGATATCTTTTGCAATTTTTTTTTATGGTAGATACTTTTTCTGCTGACCATAAAATATTTTTTAACTATAAGTTAATTAACAAAAAATTTTTTTTTAAAAAAATTATATATACATATACAAGCATTGCTGAAGAAAAAATATATATGGGCATTGTCAAAGAAAAAAAGACTTTGAGCTTTTGATTTTATCATTTATTAGATTAGCTATCGGCAATATATACAGAGTTGGTAAATAGACTAATTTGACCAATTTGACCAATGTTTTAATATAATATTAAAATTTTTTAATTATATTAATATTAAATTTTAATAATAGCTAAAAAATTAGTCAAATTAGTCAAATTGGTCTATTTGTCAACTCTGATATAATATATATATGCAATATCAGTAGTAATAACAATAATAAAATTAAAGTCTGAAGTTTTATTTTCCTTGACAGTACTTATGTTATTACACTATATATAAAATTAGTCCGAGATCAAAAATAATTACTCAGAGATAAGTATAATACCAATATTTATATAGGTTTATATCTTACCTTCTGGGATCGCCAGGGTTTATCTAGCACTTTGACCACTCAGTTATTGTAGTCATTTTCACTATCACGATTTCTGTTTCTCCTCTCTCTAATGGCCTTCTCGATATTAGTATCAGAAATTTCATCACTATAGTAATCCCGAATCTCCAATACCTGTTTGATATCAGAAACTGCTTGTTTTCGAGATTTTTGTTTATGTAAATTTTCGTATAAGGAGCGGCTTTTCATTTTAACTAAATGGTTAAAACCACTCCTTCGTCTTTTGCATTTTCTAATAAAATAAATTAAAATGAATCAAGTAAAAATAAAATAAAAATAATAAAATAATAGTAATAATAATA